TATTTGTTATATAAGGCTATATGGGTTTATATTTTGTTAGTGTTTCTATGTGTGTACAAAACTAATTTTAAAATTTTATTTGAGCCTTTATTTATGGATTATATTCCCAATAACTCTAACATTCTCTAACAAGCTAATTTCTTGGTCCTATCTAAGGTTTGAGATATTTGGAGTTTACTGTAATATGTTATGTTATTTGTTAATTTTGTGATGTTATTGTTGTGTTATTGTTGTGTTGATAGATGACTTGGTTTACTTTCACATCGGGGTCTTTAGTTTAAAATGAATTTTGGGCAGTTTCATTACTGAAACTGACTACATATAATCATTCACTAAAAGTTAAGGATTCAGTTTTCAAATAAAAACAAAGGTTTATCTTATTGTGGCGATTTATTTTAGCCTTGCTTTTTTTAAAAAGTTGTTAATCCAAACTTGCAACAAAAAATCTTGAAACTTTCTCAAAAGATAAACAACCTCACAAAGTATGTTTCTTATTTTTTATCTGTTTAGTCACATTTTTGAGTTTTCAAATAAATAAATAGAGTACAAAACAAATTAATGTGTATTAAGTGTATTCAATAATAATTTTGTTCCATTTTTAGGTCAAATTCCTTCTCCTATGACTGATTTTGAAGGTTCCTACATAGCAGAATTTAAGAAATGTTCTGAATGTTGATTGTATTCAAAAAGTTAAAACGAAGCTTGATAATCTTCATACCATTTACTAAAAGATATATAATAATGAAAGAATGTTTCAATTTAAATTGTTTTTATAAGTATTTTTGATACATTTTTATGTTGAATATAAATTTTTTTATATTTTTATTTTATCTCAAGAGAATTTTTTTGTTTGTTTCCCAAATAAATTTCTATTTTTTTATCTTTAAAATTATTGTTTTGAATGGATATATTGGCTACTTTTGCTTTGTTTTTTATATTTCCATTATCTTTTTATATATGAATGGAAACCATTTATATTTTTATCACCTTTTGTATGAAAAGTAAATAAGTAATAAGGTAATAAGTAAAAATACTAAATAAGTTCTAAAGTATAGTAAATTAATATTATTATAAATTAATAAGTTCTAAAGTATAGTAAAAAACCAAAAGGCAAGAACTTTAGGTAGTCAGTAAAATGCGAACGTTTTTGCGAACCAAGACATTTTAATGACCACAACAGTTATGATATTTAAAAAACATTTGCTCATCAAATTTTAAAATTAAATATAATATAATTTGATACATTTCATTTAAATTAGACTGTTTTCTTTTAAATTAATTATAATTTAACAACCAATAGATCTATAGTTCGCAAAAAGGTTTGCATCTTACCTACTACCAGAACTTTAAATTGATTTTTTGTCGTTTACTAAAATAAAATAAAGTATAAAGACTAATTAAGAACAAGTTTAGAAACAGTCGGGTGTGGAATATACTTACCACGATATCGTACGAGTCATGACAGCTAGTATAAGGTTTATTAAAGAGACCGCTGTTTAAATTCGTTGCTTATAAAATTTAATTTTTTTTTTTTTATGTTTACTTTTTTTATTTTTATTTATAAAAAAAAAAAAATTTAAAGAAACCAGAAATATTTCCATAATTTTCAATTTGCGATCGCTTAATTTGCCTTTTACAGAGTTAGTCTTATAAGTTACATTTGTTTAGGTATTGGAATTATAGCGACAACTAGCAACAAAACATTACATTTAACCAACTTAGCCTGACTTTTAAAAATTTAGTTGTTTGGTTTCTATATAAAAATTGCTTTTATCACTTGACAGACATTCATTAAAAGCATCCACACTTAAAATAAGCAAGCTTACATACAAAATATATTTTACATGTTTAATCATGTAATGCTTAGGTTGAACCTGATTGGTTTTAATTTTTAGCCCAACTGTTATTATAAATTGTTTAATAAACAAACTTTTTCACTGGAATTATCATATCAACCTATAAGGCTATTATTCTTTTATTTTACTAGTAATTAAATTTCTTATAGACATTAAAAATATGTACAAAGCAAAAAATAACAAACAAGTTTTTTACATTAAAGTTTTTAAATAATAAGCTATTGCTAATTTTTTAAATAGACAAAACATGATTGTATCAAATCTCAAGAAAATAAACAAATATTTTTATATTTTAAAAAACCGGAATCTAAGTAAACACTCAATAACATTACAGAGCTTGTTTTAAAGCGTTAAGCTGCCGACAATTTATTATTATTAACAATTATTATTTCTTTTATTCAAGTAGATTATTTATTTACTAGTTGAGAAGGAAACATCGTAATAGCAGAGCTAATCGAGACGAGTTCCCTTCGTACCGAAGTATTACTCATACGCTGAGTAGGTGGAGCCGGGATTTGAACATGCAATCCTGCTGCTATGGCCAATAATTATTCTGAACTTTAAAGTAGCGCTTTAACAAACTGAGCTATCCCGGCACACCAACTGAGCTATCCCAGCATTGAAGCAGAGATCATTATAATGTAATTTATTTCTGATAAAATAAATGATTTTATCAAATTCAAAACTTTATTTTAACAAAAATATATAATTTTATTCTGTTAAAAAAAAAAAAATTTAATTTAGATTTAAAAAAATATAACTAAATTTTGATTTAAAAAATATATTTAAGTTTATTTAAATTAAAGACAATGCTTTGGTTTAACTTAACTGTCATATTTTTTTTAAATATTACTAAATATTATTCAATATTTGAATTTAATTTGCTCTTAAAAGAAAATTAGCTCATTTTTATCGCAATTGTTTTTTCGGTTTTCCTTTCAAAACATTTTTTTATTAGTCAAAATTAAATTTTAAATAAATAGCTGCATCAAAAATTTGCTCAAATGTAAAATAAACTTTTTTTTTATATATGGCAAGTTAAATTGCAGCGATTATTTTTTAATAAATGTTGTTTGGAAAAATAATCTTTGCTTTCACAACAAAATCGTTTATAAAATAATAAACTTTTAATAAATAAAAGTAGATAAATTAACGTAATTTTTTTATGTTATTTGCTAATTTTTTTAAAATATAAAAAATCTTTTTTAGTTACAATTTTTTTTTTAATGATTAAAAAAAATGTGCAAACAAACTTTTTTTTAATGATTAAAAAATTTTTTTTTTAAATTAACATATTTTAATTCACTTATACAAATGTTGAGGAAAATAATTTTTTACATGAAAAAATTTTTTTAAATTTAATATCAAATTTTATTATTTAATATATAAAAAAAAAAAAAGAAAGAAATTAGTTAAAAAAAAATTTAACTTGTTTTGCGGTAATCTTAATATTATTGCAGTAATTTGAAAAAGTTAGTCTTTAAAAAATAAAAAAATAAAGAGAATTCTATGACGTTAAATTCACATTAAGCTGATGCGTTAAGCAATTGTTATTTAAAACAAGGCCTGACATTATTACATTATAACATTTCTATATTATAATGAGGTTTTTTTAAAATTATTCAATTAAACTACTCTTTTTATTAGTAATTTAGTAATTTGCATTTGTTGATTATCTATGTTTTAGTGTGTGTACACACTAAAACACAGATAAGTATCTTTACATACTTAGTCTAGCATGAATTCTCATCAACATCATACTAAAGTAGCTATTCTGTAAAATGTCCTTTTGTTTTGTAATTTCAACTCATTCTACCATAATTTAAATGTTTTTAAATTGAACAGTTTTTTAAATTCAATAATTGAATTTAAAAAACAAAAAAAACCTCAAACATATTTTGTTAAAAACTGTTATATAAGCAATTGAAAAAACTCTTAAAATGCAGAATATGAGATATACTTAAAAATCCAAAATAAAATATGCAATAATCCTATTTAAATAAAATCTTATAAAATTCATTGCCTTTTAATGTTGTGTGCTTGAAAAAGATTCCAATTCAGAAAAATAGGTACTGCATCCTGCATTTAGACAGAAGTTTGTGCAATATAATATTATTCCCAACAGTGCAGGCTTTCACAGGAAGACGTGCGATTTCACATTTTTATATGACCGCGCAAGTTACATTTTGCTATGACGGTTTGACCGCGGCTAATTCAAAAAACATTTTAGAAACGCGCTAAATAAAAAATATTCTAAAAAAGTGAAATTTAAAACATATAAATTGTTTAAGTGTTCATTTCTAAAATAAATCTTATTAAAAAATAAAAAATGTTTGTTTTTATAAACGATGACATTTTACGAATACGAAACTCTCTTTAACAAATTTAAATATAAGAATGATTAAAGATAATGTGTTTAAAAAGATAAACAAAATTTCGTTAAAAAAAAAAGTTTTAGAAAACCGTTACAATTTAATAAGTTTGATCTTAAATGCTTTTATATTATCGAAACGCTTTTAATAAAGTAAAAAAAAAACACTTCTAATTAATTTAAAAAAACGTATTTATAAATTGTTTTTTTTTATAACTATGTATTTTTTATGAGAAATATTTAATTTTTGAACATATTAAACAAATAAAAAATATATAAAAATGTTGAAACAAAGATAGGAAAAGGTTTTTTAATGCGTAAATTAAATAGACTAAGCATTTTAGTATTTTTTGCTTTAACTAAGTATTTTTTTATTTTCTCTTTCATTAATATTTATCATTTTTAAAAATTTTTTTTTTCAGATAAGTTTAGGTAAGTTTTTGTAGCGCGTTTTTAAATTTTAAAAATATGCCGTGGTCAAATTGTTAAAACATTTTTTTTTGCGTGGTCATATAAAGACATGAAATCGCACATCTTCCTGTGAAAGCCTGCACTGTAAAAACTATATGAAATAACTTTCTATAAAAATTCAATTTCTAATGGAAAAGTAAGGTAAACACCTTTGTTTTTTTTAAATCTCTATGCAATTTAAAAAAGCAAGAAATATTATCATAAAAGTATGAAGTTTTTTGCATAGGAACTCCACAGCAAGGAGAATTCAGCCCTAGTAAAAAAAAAAAAAAAAAATTTTACTTTATAATATTATTTTTCACCTGTGAAATAAAAAGCCCAAAACAGTTAACTATGTATGAACAATCATTGCACTTTGTGATAACATCAAGATCCATAAGAATCCTTTTCTGCTCTTCCATTATAGGTGTTCTACTCATCATCTAAAGTAATATAGGTTTTTTTAGGGGGCATCAACTGTATTACATGTGTAATTAAAATATAACAACTTATTTATAATTTTAAAAAAACCTGATAGCTTTTTTTAAAAATTCTACTAAAATTTAAAAACACTTTTCAAATAAAAAAATAAATTACAAATTAAAATTTTTTTTTACAATATTCAAGTTATTTTATGAGTGTATTATAATTGTGTGTAGTGTAAATGTGTAATTTTGTATTGCGTAATTGTGTAATTGTTACTTATATGGAAATAACAGATAACTGCGATTTCCACAAATATGGAACTTTGTCAGATAATTAAGGGCTGGTAAAGGCCCATTCAAATAAAATTATGTATTTTTTAATATTAATTAAATGTATTTTGCGATAGTTTAATCAAATTTGAAAACATTTAAAACATGTCTAATTATTTATGCATAAAATATAGAAAACAAGCTTTTATACCTTTACTGCCATTATGGTTTTACTCTCTTTATGATACATTTTATTTACAACACCACATGTTCCTGAGCCAATTTCTTCAATATAAACTAAGTCATCAATCGTAAATGGATATTTCTATTGTAAAAGAAAATAATTTCTAAACTATTTTACCACATTCTAGTTTATTAAACTATGCAAATATCACACCCTCAACTTGATAAACACCTTCAAATTGATAAAACAAAAAATTTTGATAGACAGGGATGATGACAAATTTTGATGACAGGACACGCAAAGTTAATTTTCTAAATTGGCTAGCAAAGGCCATTATTTTATTATTAATGCAATTAATTTCGAAGCGTTTTTACACTGTAGTAATATTTTTTGAAAATTTCTTTTGTTATGCTGAACAAATGTGGTATTGTGAATTGTAAAGGGAATTATAATGAACTTAATTAATGTTGTGTTTTTAAATTACCTAAAGATGAAGTTGATTTAAATTCACCCGATCTATAATATTTATTAACTGTTAGACGTATTTAAAGTATTTAAGAGTGATTTCGAGGAAACATTTTAAAAATTGGTGAGGGCAAATAAAAAAAAAAAAAGAATAATATTAAAACGTATTCTACTTGATTCAATGAAAAAGTACAGTTATTAAAATTTTTGTAAAAAGAACTCAAAAAAATTACTTAAATAATAACGATCGCTTTTATGTTAAAAGTTACCGAAACTCATCGAAGCGTGCTCAAGAACAGCTGCTGAAAAATAGAACGTCAATAGTTTTTCGAATAATTTTTAAGAATAATTTTTAAGAATAATTTTTTCGCTAAAATATTTCTTTTATACCTATAAGATTTTTATTCTAACATTTTATTTTATTTTACTAGAAATAAAATTCCTTGTTAACATTAAAAATCTATTCAAAACGTTCGTTTAAGTTTTTTATTAATACGAGTGATTGTGCTTATCAACCGCTTTATGAAAATAAATAAAAATAAATAAATAAATATTATATAAAATCGCTTGTAAAAATATTAGCTATTGCACAGTTTTTAATCGTACAATATTAAAATTTCCAGTTTATTACTCGCTGACTTTTTAAAAAGAAAAAATAATTATTTGAAAAACTTTAAATTACATATTTAAGAAAAGAAAAAATCAAATATTAGCATATTTTATAATCTTTTTTAAATTTAAGTTATAATGTTTTTTATTCGTTTAGTATAGACAAAACGTGACAAACTCGAGAAAACAAACAAATGTTTTTACATTTTAAAAAACGAAACATTCCAAAACATTTTTAATTAATAACATTTCTACATAAACGATTTAAAGTAGTTTTGCGGTAATTAAATAAATTGGTGCAGTTAATGTCGATAAATATGAAAAGCAAATAAAAAGAATTTAATGACGTCAAAAATCACGTCGTGCTTATGCGTCGCGCAGCTCTTATTTATCGCAAGGCCTGCTTATAAAATAAAAATATTTAATTTTTTGCAGATAACTTTATCTAACATTCTATATTTTTATAGAGGAAGTTTTATTATATTTCATTGTATTATATATATATACATATATTTTTTTAACATCTTCGCTTCCAACAAGGCTGCAAGCAACCACTAATTAGTGTTGGAAGTTACTGGAAGAGAAAAGATGAAGATTGTAGAGCAAGATAATGATTGATAGACAACTTAAAAGATTGCAAATTATATGAATCAGGAAAGCAAGATGAAGGAAGCGAATTCCAAAGAACTGATGTTAGAGGAAAAAAACTAGACGAATAAGAGTTTTTGGAGCACTTAGGAACAGTAACAGAAAAAGGATGAGACTTAATTGAATGACGAGTAACAAGAGAATGATTTTTAGTAGATAGCACAAGAGATGCTAGCTCTTTAGAGCAGTGACCATTATAGTATTTGTAAAAAAAAGAAAAAGAAGCAACATTACGACGATGTAACAGAGGTTGAAGGTTTGCTGCAAGAGCAGGTCCAACTATGTTTACAATGCATTTTTGCATCTTGTCTAAAAGAGAAAGGGCATCATTAGAAGATCCACCCCAGATATGGCAACAGTATTCCATACAAGGCCGGATTTGAGATTTATAGAGATAGAGAATAGAAACCAGAGTAAGAAAGTGACGAGATTTTGCAACGGATTTGATATAAGGTTTCCAAGAAAGATCAGAAGTAAGGTTAATCCTAGAAGATTAAGGGTAGATGACTCATCGATTCATAAATATAGGAAGGTCTAAATTATTGCGATAACGATTGGCTGAAAAAAATTGAGTTTTATCTGAATTAAAGTTTGAAAAAACAAAAAAAACAAAAAATTAATTTTATTTACTTTTTATTCTTTTTTAAAAAAAATTTTTTACTTTGTTATTGATTTTTACTTAAAAGGGATCCCTAACTGCTGAGACAAGTTGTGTTCATATTAAAGAAAATATAAAAAAAAAACATTTGGGCAAAATTTTTTTGATTGAAACTAAATAATAAATGCATAGAAACAAAATTAAAATTATCGTTTTAGTGGAAAAACAATAATTTTAATTTGCCTTCTCCATTTTTTTTGGTTCTCGGAGCCAGTATAATTAGAGCCGCAATCTGCAGACTTGATAATTTATTCCATGCGTGTTTAATTCATAACAGTTTCGGTATATGTCATCGCAATATCTTTTTAAGATCATTTTTTTGTTGTTGTTTTTTTAAAGATATAAGTATTTTTTCTACTACAATCAGAAAATCAAATATTTGTATAATTTTTTTTATTAAATCACAAAAAATATTTGTGATTTAGTAAAAAATTACAAAAATATATATATGATTTTATATTTACAATTTTTTTTTTACTTGCTTTATGATTACTTTATTTTAGAAGCCAGCCAAAATCATGACACAATTATACATATTTTGTGATAATTAGAGTTCGCAGGCAGAGAAAAAATAAAGGCAGTATTCTCGGTTGCGGTTTCTCGTTTTATATTTAGTTTATATGGTTTAATAGAGGTGTTCATTTTATGTTTAATTTACATTTAGTTATAGTTTAACTCTTTCACTACTGCAAGCCACTGGTAGCTTTCGAGTATGCTTTAAAATTTATCTTGTTTTGTACATAAATTTCCATTCAAGACACATAATTTGTTTGTTCTAAAGGTTTAATAAATTCTCTACATAATCAAGAAAAAAAAAGGAGCTATATTGTGCAATTATAAAAAAGTTATCACTTGACAAAGTTAAAAAATCTTGAATAATCTTTCATAAAAAAAACTTCTTTAAATTTAGTTATAAAATAAAACAGTGTTAACACTGTAAAATTTAACTTGTAGAAGTGTTAAGTATTTAGTAAAGTAATTAAAAAAAAATTTCTTTTGAAGAAAAAATATTCTTTTTATTCATTTAATGAATTTTGTATTGGACTTAATATTTTAGTTACTATTTATAAAATCAATGGTTTTAAACAATTTGTATTTCTTATTGTTTAATGATGCGTGTTAAAAACTTATTTAATTAAAAAGTACATTTGCTTAGCTTTCTATTGATATATATTTTGTTATGCTTTTAAAAAGATTTACTATTCAAATTTTAATTAATTGTAGATGTTATGCTATTCAAATTTTAATCAAAAAAATGTGCGGTTGCTACATGCTAATTTTTTTGTTCAGCTGGTAGCAAATGAGTTAATGTGATTCTTCGTTTTTATACTTATATTATAACTTTTTTTTTGTATATTTAAGTACAAATATTTGTTTTGCACAGTAATATGTAAAATAATTTGTTTAATATTTATTTTCTACTTAGTTCAGTTCATATGTTTTTTTCAAGTCACTCGTTTTTTTTTCAGTTTATACTTAAAATTAATTTATACGCTTTAGTAAAATTAGTCTTTTAGTATCTAGTTTATATCTAGTTTAAACCAGTATGTTTTACTGTAAATATTCATTATATATTAAATTTTAATTTTATAAATTTAATTTTTAATTGTATGACAAATTTTTTGGGGGGATTTATTAAAAAATTATACAATTAACACAATTTAGTGATTGTGGCAAAAAAATAATACGATATCTTGAAAGAAAAAATTTATAAGATGATGTCATATAATGAAACTGTTATGAATTAAACACGCATGGAATAAATTATCAAGTCTGTACATTGTGGCTAACATTATACTAAATATTTTTTTAGGGTTGTATTATAATGGTCCAAGCTGTAACTATGCAGGGCGCGAAAAATCGTTTTTTTTTTAAATAAACGTTGACGTTTGTTTCTTTATTTATTGACGAACGTCTAATTTAAGAGGTATGTCAAATATCCATCCCTCCCCCCTCCACACATACACACTTTTTTATAATTTTTTTAATATTTTTTTTTATTTAAGAAAATTTCAAGATATAGAGGACTTTTTTCATTAATAGATGGTTGCGCACCTCCACTTCGAACCCTTGTGTCGGCCAGAATAAGCCAGTTTCATTTTAACTTCTTTAAGTTTTTTTTTTTTTAATTTGAATAATTTTTTTATTTAATTATAAGGGAGTTTTATTTTCAAATTAATTTTATTCTAGTTAATAAGATATATAATAATTAGATATATCAAAGATAGTTATCGAATTTTATCAATTTTTATTAATTTAAAACAATTTTTCACGCATTTGCAAACTAATATGCAATAAATAATATCCAATAACTAATATGCAATAAACTTTTCACTGTAAACTGTTATCTATTAATACAAAATAGTGAATTTTTCTCAATTAAGTTTGTTAAATTATAAAAAAAAGATATAAACTTGACAAAATTTAAATAAAAGGGAACTATATAAAAATAAAATAAAAGTTATTTTGACATTTTTGTTTTTTTAATATTTAAAAATAATAATATACTATTAAGCATTTAATAAGTTATTAAATTTGTAATTTAATAAGTTACTATCAAATACCTGATATGCTATTATTATATTTATAATATTAAGTATTAAAAAAAAATTAAAATAAAAATAAATTATTTTATTGGTTGTTGTTAAACGCACAGTAAAAAATGAAAACTATAATCAACATAATAGTTCTATAAAATCTATTAAATTTTATATATTTCTGCAAATTTTTTTTAAAACTTTAAAAACAGCAAATAAACATTAATTTAAAGATAATAAGAAAATTTAAAAAACCACGCGTTTGGAAAAAGAATGTTTTGGCATGGTTCCGTTTAAAGTAATTGCAAATGCATTCATTTTAAGTTAAACTGGCCATTCTTTTGTAAATGCATGTAAAAACATGCTAAATATAATTTTCTCTACAGTTGCATACTTAAAAGAAACGCTATTGAAGAAAGTATTAGCGCGGTTTCTTTTAATGTCATTGAAACTGCGTTTTAAATTTTAGTAACTTATTTTTTTTTTATATTATTTATGTTTTTTTTTATAATAAATAAAAAACTATCAATCGCATAATTATTTGGAAAAAAAAAATTGCTGAAGATATGCGTTCGTTTTTAAAAAATTTAAGCAAACGCCAACGTTTGCTTAAGTAAAAGTAAGGAAACGTGACGTTTGTTTTTCTGTCTTTTTTTTAACGTTCGCACGTTCATCGATTTGTTGCGCCCTGCTATGGTAGAAGAATTACTACAATGTATATTATAAAGTACTTTACAAAAAATAATTAACATCTTATTACAAGAAAAAAAATAAAAACAAAATGGCCAGTATTACCCCATAACTTTGGGGCAATTGTGGCAGCCTGGTCAGCATTACCCTAATTCTTTTGTCAAATACAAATAATGAAAAAAAGAATAATGATAATTATTAAAAATAAGTTTTATAAGAGTTTAAGAGAATAAGTTTATGAGTTTAAGAATTAATAAAAATAAGTAGTACAATATTACTATTAAATACAATAGTCACAAATATAAATATTGTTTTCATGGAGGAGATCTGTAGTCTTTGTGGGCTTAGTCACCACATGCAGCACAGGTTACTACCATTCTCGGTTTTTACCAAATTCCCCACAAACCAAACAAATATCTGAAGACTTTTCTATTTTTTAGCCATTTTATATGACCATGATTGCCCCATATAAAATGGCTAATCATAACCCCAAAATGAATTAATTTTTATTAACAAAAATAAAAGCATATTTGCAAATAAGAAGATACTTACATTATATATATTTAAAAACTAGAATAATTATATTTCTTATTATTGGTGTTATTTAGTCAACGTCTTTAACATTTATATACTTAATAGCACAATAATTTTTTTTTCTTTCTAATACGTAAATGACAGTTAACAACATAAGACAACTAGTGTCACTTATGTAGGAAGAACAAAGAACTAGGACCAATTATTAGTTTTTCTAGTAGAACATAGGTACCAGTGCAGATAAAAAACCTCACTTAAATAACACAAATATAGAAATATATGCCCATAATTACCCCAGAGATCAATAATCCCGGGGAGTCAGGACCTCCCCTAGCCCAAATGTTTGTTTTAAACATTTTCTTTAATATGAACACAACTTGTCTCGGCAGTTGGGGATCCCTTTAAAGTTTTTAATAGTAATAACTTAGTTTCACTGTAAAATTATTTTAATATTATTGGTTCTTTAAAACGCTGTTTTGGTTAAATTTAATTTTATAAGAGTTTAGTAAAAAGTATTGAACGCTAATGAAACCAGAAAATCAACTTTGCTTTGCTAATGAAACCAAAAATCAACTGTGCACACCCTGTTTTATAGTAGACCTTAAGTAAAATCTAAAATTGTTAAGATTTTTGTTTAAATTTTTTTGAAAAAAGTTAAAGGTTAACAGCCATCATATAGATAAGTAGCAGTCGTATGGTAAGCAGCAGTGATATTTATGGTAAATACTGTAATATAAAGATATTATATATGATATAAATATGACAGTACTGTAATCAGCTATAAATTTTAAGTAAACTCAATAGTTTTTTAAATAGAAATAATACAAATTTTGTTTTTTTAATCAAAATAAAGTTTTACCTTTCCATCAATATTAAGTATAGATGACTTTTTAATTAGTTCTGATAACTCTTGTTCTATAGCTACTCTATGAATAAAATATAATAAAAATTAAAATCTACTATTCAATAATAATCAATAAAATATAATAAGCACTTAATTCTGGGTCATTCCAGCTCAATTCAATTTATGCTTGGCACCATGCCATCTCAGATTTTGCTGATTTTTGGAATACAAGCTTGATTTAATAAAAGAAAACTTCACTCCAAATTTTAGTGTCTGACTCCTTACGGTTTCAGAGATATTGATACTTGGTCCCAACCTCTTTTTTGACTTTTTTTTTCAGCGCCATTTATTTTTTAGGCTCATTGCACGACACAATTAGCTTTAACTTATGAAATACTTGTTTAATAGTGGTCAAAATTTCTACCTAACTATTTTTTATGGTGAGGAACTTAAAAATGATGGCTAAAACACACAAAAACTCAAGTTTCTATACAAAAATTCAATTTTAAAGTGGTGTAACACTTTTTGTAAGTTTTTTGATGCCCTGTACAAAAAAATGTTTATCTCAAGATGCCTAAAAGATAAAAATCTGAAATTTTTTCCTAATGTTCTATATGTATCAAACTCCATAATACAAAAAATCTGGAAGGGTTTTCTTTTTTAAATTAGATTTATTTGTATTTAAAGTTTTATTTAAAAAATTAAGAAAAACTGTTATTTAATAATGAAAAAAACAATTTGCATAAATTTTTTGCATTTTTAAAAAAGATTTTTAGAATCTTGCTGTGTAAGGTACAGTTCTAATATATGAACTTGTTTGCATTTCACATAAAAGATCTTTATTTTATGCAATCATTATGTTTTATAGCTAATGGATTTTCTATTTTCAAATCTTTAAACAATAACTATTTTATAATTGTTTCTTACAGATCTAAAAAATAATATAACAATATGAATGATAAAGAAAGATGTTCGATTGGAATAATAAAAAAAGAAATTTGTAACAAACAAACTTATGTAAAATCTCATGATATCAAGAAAGTTTCAAGTCTTAATGATGTGGAAAAAGACTTGAAAATTAGTCGTTCTGGCATTCACTTTGATGAAAATGCAACGGTTTGCCTACACCATGAATATGTTTATTTAAAACGTTACTCTACAATCCACATAACTTGCTGTGATCCATTCAATTCACACAATGGAAAAAGAAGAAAAGGTATTATTACTTAACCATGAAACTTTTTTAAAACTTTATTGTAATTATTTATAAATTATATATATTTTTGCAAAATACTCACTGAAGCAGTAATTATCACTCATGTTTTTAGGAGGATGTAAAGAAATTAATATGCAACTTGCTGGGAAATTAAAAAATATTGGTATTAATGCTATTTCTGGAGAAAAGATATGTCCCTCGCGTATGATTAAATTGATATCATTTAAGGATGATGAGCAAAGAGAACCAACTTGTAGCCAGATTTATGAAGATGAAGATAATGAACCTAATATAAATGAATTGTTAAAAAAAAATCTTAATTCTACTTTGACAACTATGAACATAAGTCCTCTCAAAATGCATGCTGTAAATAGTCACTCAAGAGTTGCTCTTGGCAAAAAAAAATTGTTACATATTCAAAAAACAGTAAAGTTAGGTATTGCAAGGACTTTAAATATAGATCCTGAACAGTAAAGTAAAGAAGATTCCTACAATAAATTATCTAAGGAAGTTAAAGGTAAAGCAAATGACATGGATATACTTATTAGAAAAATCAAAGAAAAAATGTTAATTTCCAATCGTAATCAGAAAATTCAACTACTAACACTGGTTCCAATTTCTTGGTCTCACAAAGATATAGAAAAAGAATTTAATGTTACTAATTATATGGTGCAGATATCACGCAAATTGCTGCAGAAAAATGGTATTTTATCTTTTCCTGAAAAAAAAAAAAGGAAAGGAAATACCTCAAGACACAGTAGATAAAATTATTGAATTTTATTGTAATGATGAAAATAGCAAGCTAATGTCTGGTAAAAAAGATTTTGTTAGTATAGCTCGAAGATCTCATATGCAAAAGCGTTTGATTCTTTCAAATCTAAAAGAGCTATATACAAAGTTTTAAACCTGTTATCCAGATATAAAGAGCTGTTTTTCTAACTTTTGCTCACATCGTCCAAAATGGTGCATTACAGTTGGAGCATCTGGTACGCATACAGTATGTGTGTGCACCTACCATCAAAATGTTAAGTTAATGATTAGTGCAGTTAAATTATCAAAGGATTATCACGAGCTTATTGATATGCTTGTTTGTAGTAGGGCAAACAAGACTTGCATGATACATCGTTGCCCTTTGTGCCCAGAAGATTCTACATTGGTACATTATCTTGAAAATGAGTTGTACTCTCAAGACGATATTGATGAAGATGATGATTATTGTATAGATTACAAACAATGGAAAACAACAGACCGATCTGAACTATTAAGTCTAACAGAAACAACAAGTAGCTTTATTAATACTTTGAAAAATAAGTTACAAAGACTTACTGTTCATTCTTACATTGCAAAAAGTCAAGCTGCTTCTTTAAGAAAGTTAAAAAATGAGTTGAGTAGTACTGAGGTAATTGTCCTTTGTGATTTCTCAGAAAATTACGAGTTTGTTGTACAAGACGAAATACAAAGTTTTCATTGTAACAAAATCCAAGCCACATTGCATCCAACAGTAATTTATTATAAAGAAAATATTGTCCTCAAATGAGATTCAATATGTTTCATCTCAGATGATTTACTGCATGATGTTGATATGGTTTATCATGTGATGAAGCTAACAATTGAACATATTAAAAGCAATATTTCTCATCAAATAGAAAGTGTCCATTACTTTTCAGATGGGTGTGCTGGCCAGTACAAGAACTGCAAACACTTCGTAAATATATGCCACCATGAACAAGATTTTGCTATGAAATGTACCTGGTCTTTCTTTGCAACAAATCACAGTAAATCACCCTGTGATGGTATTGGTGGGACTGTAAAAAGGCTGACTTCAATTGCTAGCCTTCATCGAACAACAACAAATCATATTCTTACAGCCTCTGCAATGTTTAATTTTTGCCAAAATGAAATCATAGGAATTAATTTTTATTACATATTCAAGGAGTCAAACACGATAATTCGAAGTGAAATGGAGAAAAGATATACAACTGCAAAAACGTTACCAGGCACTCGTAGCTATCACAATTTCGTTCCAATAAGTAACACAAAAATTGGAACTAAAATTGTTTCTGAACAATTGGAGTATTCATTTGTTTTTAATTTTCAAACTGATGAGATTATTAAAGAATTCTTGTCTAATATAAGCATTGGTGTGTTTGTATGTTTGATATATGATAACAATCCATGGATCGGGCTAGTTGAGGAAATTGATGTTGAAAACAAAGACTTTAAAGTTAGTTTCATGCATCCATATTACCCTTCAAGGTCATATTGTTGGCCTTCTAGAGATGATGTTTGCTGGGTTCCATCAACAAACATATTGCTAATGATTAATATTCCAACAACTGTTACAGGAAGACAATACAAAATCAGTGAAATTGATAACCAGAGCATTGAAGATAGCTGGGCAAACTTTAAACCAGAGAACTAATTTGTTATCTGTCAAAGATTTTTAATTCTTATTTTTTTTAAATATCAAAGATTATTAATTCTTATTACCTTTTAGTTTTAATTTTTCTTATTGTAATTTAATTATTTCCATGGTTTTTGTGTGATTTTTATATTTTTTTGATTTATTATTGTAAGACTTTAAATGCAAATAAATTTGATTTAAAAAAGAAAACCCTTCCAGATTTTTTGTATTATGGAGTTTGTTACATATTGAACATTAGGAAAAAATTTCAGAATCATATCATTTAGGCATCTTGAGATAAACTTTTTTTTGTACGGGGCATCAAAAATCTTACAAAAAGTGTTACACCGTTTTGAAATTGAATATTTATATAGAAGCTTAAATTTTTTAACGTTTTAGCCATGATTTTTGAGTTCCTCACCCTAAAAAGTAGTTAGGTTGAAATTTTTATCACTATTGAACAAGTATTTCATAAGTTAAAGCTAATTGTGTGGTACAATAAGCTTAAAAAATAAATGGCGCTGAAAAAAAAAGTCAAAAAAGAGATTGGGACTGAATATCAGTATCTCTGAAACCGTAAAAAGTCTGATACTATAATTTGGAGTGAAGTTTTCTTTCATTAATTTAAGCTTTTACTCCAAAAATCAGCAAAATCCAAGATGGTATGGTGCCGAAAATTATTTTTTTTAGTTGATTTGACACGGAATGACCCTTCTCTCATTTGGATCTTTTAACAATAGTTTAAACAAGTTTGTCTAGCATTTATGTTTAGGCGATTTACACTTCGCCTAATCCAAACATTTCACCTTATTAGTTTAACATTTATAGTTTTACGCTTGAATGGTTTATTACCTTTGTAACACTTGTTATGCCTGTACTCACTTTTTTTCATTTTCTCAGACTGGGAATATCATGATACTCCATGACAAAACTGTTTATTATATTCAAAAAAACAACAGCACTGCAAAACTTGATAGCAACAACTGTGGCAAATAGTTGATTTTTAAGCTACGGATAAAAGTAAATTTAAAAGGGTGTCTTTGAAGCAAAACACTTTTTTAATAAAAAACAAAACCTCTCAGCTGACTTTACTTGAATAAAAAGATGACATTCAAATAATCTTTTAAAGAAAACCAATGAAAATATCACCAAAGAACACTAATCATTGAAAAATAGATTTTGCTGAAAATGTCAAATCAGCCCTTTTAAAAAACAAAAATACGATTCATTTAATTTAAAGGGATTTGATTTTAAAAGTGTTAACAAGAAAACTTTAAAAAGTATTAAAATTATATCTTATCTATAATTTAACCCTTTTCCGCATAGAGTATCACATATGATACAATTTATAACAAAGGATAGCATGGTTAGACAGACTATGATTTCGACAATATATTTTAATGGTATTTCTTATTAATGATTTATTTCCATGTTTAACCATAAAAATTATCTTGTTAATAGACAATATTTTATTTATAAATTATCATAATGGAGACTACAGGCAACAAGCGCTGTTCTGGTAAGTTCTTCACCTATAATATGTTCATAGAATATAGAAAACTAAGATTATAAAAATTAGATGGAAATATCCATGTCTCTATTTGTTAAAAAAACTTAGTTTACAGTTTTCTCAAACTTGTAACCATATGTAATTTTGTTATATATAATTGTATCAGATATGAAACAGCATGTGTTAAAAGTTTGTTTATGTAAACATAATTTTATTTATTATTATGCGTATTTTAAAAGTAATCTTTTTGTTTTGAGTTCAGTGAAACTTATTAAATAAATTAAGTTATAAATTAAGTAATATTAAGTTATGTATATTTTAATATGGTACTACAATAATATTATTCTTGATGAAAACAATAGTTTGTTTTACATTTTTAGCAATAACTACTGATTCATTTTATGGAAAATATTCTACTCGCATGGTCATGCTGACGACATGGGCTTTGAAGTGAGGGGGGGGCACGCAATAGTCAATTTTTAACAAGTCTTATATCTAGAATTTTCTCAATAATAAAAAAAAGGTCCTTTAGAAAAAAAGTGTGTGGTGGTGATATGGAGGGCACGTGGTTTCTTGCCCCCTCATCCCCGCAGTGTTGTCGGCTCTGATTGTTAGGTCAACAAATTATGTACAAATACCTTTAGATAGAAGTTCTGATTAATGGCTATCATCTAATGACGACTCATAAGTGACAGACTTTAATATTCAAAAAAGACCAAATGAAATATATGAATCAAGCAGTGAATCTGAAAGAAGAGAGAGGTAGGGAATATGAACATAGTGACACTGAATCTGTTATGACTACTAATTCTTTAATGAAGAAAGAGGACCCAAACATCATGTCTCATATTTGTGTACAAAACAATGTTGTTGGGCATTGGCCAATTGTAGGTAGTATTCGTTCTCGGTGTAAACTTCATGGATGCTTGGCATTAACATATAAAATATGCGAAAAAAGAAAAGTTAGACTTGTTTTAAAATGTTTCATATCTAATTATTCATTGCTCTCATGCATAATGTTTTGTTTATATAGTTATTTTATTGAAATAAAACTTTCCTGCCAAGTTTTGTTTTATAATAATATGATGTTATACTATTTATGCATGCTGTATCATATGATACAATTTTAAAAATCATGAAAGTTCATATTTAGGAGAAAAATTTTTTTTTCACATCAGCAAATTTTGTTTTTACTCCATAAAATGCACATTAAAAAATTAGTTTTTCTCAAAAAAAAAAATCACGCAGAAAGGGGTTAAAAAAGAAAATAAAAAATATGTCAACCAAGTGTTGGGAAAAAAAAATCAACGGATTTAAAAAAAAAAAAACTATTGTTTTATTGAAAAACATAAGTGCAAAAACACTTTAACTAGAAGTGCTTTTGACACTACAAACATGTTGTGCTAATATTTGAACTTTCATGGACATATTAATCAACTCCTGGGTCAAAAAAATCTGTTACAAGTGTCTTTGGTTGACTCACACCTTGCATTATATAATTAAAAGAAATTAGCAGAAAAAGTTTTATAACATTAAAAGAAATTAGCAGAAACAATTCTACCTTTAGTTTAAACAATAGCAAAAAAAGTTTTCATACAGTTTACTATTGTGTACTCTATGAACAAAATAGTAAATAAAAAAAAATATTTCAAAAAATTAAAAAAAAAGTGACTGACGTTCTTGCACTTTTTCTCTTTTCATTGGAGAATGTAAGATTCATTTTCGGTCTTTCAGATCGTGGTGCAGGCAACTCTTCGTCTATAAATAATTAAACTGGACAATTATTGACAATAATGCTATTTGCTAAATGGTAGGCAGCCTATCAAAGAAACAACATTAATTACATATGAATATTATTCATTAAAAAAGGAACACCAAAATCAATATGTAATCAATTTAAAAAAAAAAAAATTAACATCTAAAAGGCACTTCATTAAAACATCAATACCAGTATTCTAAAATAACAAAAAAATAATGTTGAGAAAACAATAAGTAACATGTTAAATAAAAATGATTAAACTTCTCTCCCACATTGAAGATTTCTTTATTTGAAACAACAATACAAAGATACTAGGAAGAAAATTTGCTTAATAAAAATGAAGTTGTTAACATAAATAAAGGGTAAATGCATTATTAAGCTTTAATCAAGCATTTTATTATCTAGCAATAATTATGCATTTTTTTTAAATTATTATTCTAAATATAAAGTACATTGAGAAGCAACTAAATAAAAAAAGTGAAATTGTTAAGCTTTAATTGTGAAATTAAAATTGTATTTGTTAGAATCTTTACTAACTTGCAAAAATTTGTATGAATTAGAAAATAATCCACTTTTTTGGATCCAAAATATAAAAGTTTTTAACTCCTTGAAAAAATATTATAAAAATCTAAAGGAATTTTTATCAGACTTTTATCATGCAAAAAAAAGTTTGTTAACTGATTCCAATTGAAAAGATGACAAGAAATAAAATTTAAATTATAATTTGATTATAAATTCAAGGTTCCTTAGTAAACTTTGTTTGTTAAATGTTCTTTATTTTAAAGACCATAAATCCATTTAAGATTTAGTATTATATATAATAAAAAAATGACCAACCAACACAAACTTAAATGTACATGATATTAAGACATAATTGTGTTAATATTTGTAAAAGGTAAAACCAAAAGCTCATATAGCTATATATGATAATATGATTATAATTAATTATTAAACAATATTTAACTTTACATTTTTTTAGTCAAGAAAGTTTTTTATTTTTTTTACTTTTAGCCAAAGTTAGGGAAGTCATTTTGAACTTTGACTCCCCAAACTTCATTTAAAATTATCGTCTATGAAAATATTTGTTTTTTTGATTTTATGCATTATTTTATGCAAGATATAACATTTAGGCCATATGCAAGATATAACACTTAGACCGACCCTAATTGAGAGGGCTGATATATATATATATATATATATATATATATATATATATATATATATATATATATATATATATATATATATATGTATGTATGTATGTATGTATGTATAAATACATATATATATATATATATATATATATATATATATATATATATATATATATATATATATATATATATATATATATATATATATATATATATATATATGTATATATATATATATGTATCAGCGCTCGAAATAACGGCCGATCAACGATCAATGATTGTCGACTTTTGGAAAAAATGAAACTTTGAACTCCCAAAATTAATTATGGCGGATCAAATTTGATCGTCTACATTGCATGTCACACATTAGAATAAAAAATTTTTTAACATTTAAAAAAGAATCTTAAATTTATTAAATTAGCATTAAAAAAAATATGTTCATTTTTGCTGAATTAAACAAGTTTTTAGACCAATAATAATCTTTTAGTTCACATTAAAAATGGTAATTAAAAAGAAGCGCGAAGTTTATTGTAAATAACTTAATAATGCTTTTGATTGGTGGAATAAACATAGCGTTGATTTCGTAACAGTCTTCAGTTCGAAAGTTTATTAACTGTAAAAGAATTATTTTAATAAAGCGAATTCATTTGAATAAAATGAATTAATAACTAGAAAGGTTAACATTTCTTTGATTGTCTGAAAAATAATGAACAAAGCAAGTTTGTGATTCGTTGGAAAACTTCATTTTGAAATCATCGTGACAATTTAAATTGAAAGAAACAGTTTTTGTTTTAAAGTTTTAGAAATTAAATGGTAAGTTTAAAAATAATCTTAAAATGGAAGCATACAAAAAGCGTCAAACATTTATTTCTTTTAAAAGAAACTTAGTATCTGGAACACCCGCTGAGAAAAAACTAAAAACTTATGACAGAAAGCTACAATTACAAACAGCTAATAAATGGAAAGTCTCTACGCTTGCAAAATATAATGCTAATGATTGGCTTGAAATTGAAAGCATTGACGGAATAGTTACAGCGCTAAAATGCAAAGTATGCCGAGAATATGCATCGCAAATTCAGATTTTAAAAGGCTACACTCCGGAATGGAGCTGTGGAAAAGGATGTAGTCAATTGCAACATAGTTCTGCAATCATGCATGCAGAGGGAATGTCTCATCAGAAGGCTTTTGAGATTTTTATGAAAACGAGAGGCATGAATTTGTGCGATCGAATTGAAAAACTAAACGAGTTGCAGCAGGAAATGCGGCAAACAGACATTTTATCCGGTATTCAAACCATGAATAGTAAAGACTTGGATTTGACAAAAAAAAAATTTGAGGTCGCTTACTTTATAGCAAAAGAAGAACTATCGCTTTGCCTATACCCAAAAATAATTCAATTAGAAGAGAAACATGGTGTAGTTTTTGGTCAGGCTTATAAAAACGAAAACACATGCGGAGTATTTATTGACTACATTGCTCTTAGTTTAGCGATAGATCTCAAAAATAAACTAAATACTCGAAATTTTTTCACTATTTTAATTGACGGTTCTAACGACGTTTCAATTAAGGAAAAAGAAGCTATATTTGCCGTTACTTTTAATCCGGCTCCAACTGGAAAATCTGAAGTAAACGTTGAATGTGATTTTCTTTCACTTTTGGATGTTGAGTATGGAACTTCGCACGGAGTTTTCAACACCATAAAAAAGTCACTCGAGAATATAGAAGTCGTAAATTGCAATAAAAAACTAGTTGGATTTGGTGCGGATGGCGCATCCGTTAACAGAGGGAGCAAGTCGGGCGTTAAAATGTTGCTCAAGGCTGAAGTCCCCTGGATCACGTTTGGCTGGTGTGTAGCACATCGTCTCGAGTTATCATTAAAAGAAAAATTAGGAAAAACAGCCTCATTCAATGACGTTGATTACATGATTTTAAAAATGCATTACATTTACAAAAAATCCCCCAAAAAGTTAAGACAGTTGGGTGAACTCGTTTCTATTTTAGAAGATGATGAATATAACATTGGTGGTTACCGACCTAAGAAAGCCTCCGGTATTTTCTTTTTTTTGCTTGATTTTGATTATATTTATTACCATTACAGTTATGCGTGACGCCTATATTTTTAGTTTTTGCAAGTATAAAGTAAATTATAAATTGTATAATCTTGTTTCATTTTTAAGTACACGATGGATTTCACATAAAGTTCAGGCTTTAGAAATGATTTTAGATAAATACGGTGTTTATTTAACACATCTGGAAAATATGACTGAAGATATAACATTTACCAATGCTGAAAGAGCTAAGTTTAAAGGATACCACAAAAAGTGGATTCATGCTAGAATGCTCCTTTATATCGCGTTGTTTATTGAGATTTTAGCACCAGCAAAGATGTTGTCAAAATGTTTTCAAAGTGATGAGATAGATGTGTTGGCTTCATCAGGGTTTGTTCAACAAGCTAAAAGCCATTTAAATCGTATTCAAAAAACAAAGTTTATTAATTTGCCAACAGTAAAACATTTTCTCACCAAAGTGACTGAAAAAGAAGGAAAGTTTTATTTCCAGGGTGTTGCACTTAACGACTTTGTAAATGCTAAACATTTAGTAAAAAAGTCTAAATCTATTCATATCGAGTTGGTAACAAATTCAATCATAGAGCGTTTGGAAACAAGCGATACTATTACTGATATGTATGGTACAAAAGTTTTAAATACAGAAGGTTGGCTTCAAAGTATTGAAAATGAAACATTTCTGGATGAAGGAATAGAAAATCTTTTTGACTTTTATAGAGCGCCGTTGCGACATGCTGGTTTTGCAGGAACTGTAAATGATGTTTTGGATGCTTGGCATAGCTTGGTAAACTACACTGTAAAATATTTAGCACCACATAACACCGGTTATCGTAAGTTATAGCATCAAATTTTTTCTAGCTCAATGAAAAATGAATGGGCTCCGGTTTTACTTATTGTCGAACTATTATTTACTTTGCCTGTTTCTAATGCGAAAGTTGAACGCCTTTTTTCACTAATGAATAGAGTAAAAACGGATACAAGAAACTCTCTGAAAGAGAAACGTTTAGAAAATTTAATTCGAGTAAGTTTCGATGAAAAAGATTCCAATTTATTTGATTTAAGTTCTGCTATCGAGTTATGGACCAATGATGCCGTGCGAAGGCCAAAACAATCAGTAAGAAAATGCTATTCCAAAAGAGCAAAAAAAGCAGGATTAAAAACATTAATCGACTTGGATTCATCATCTAACGAATCAAGTAATGAATAGCGCAAAACAAGATTATTTTTTCTCACCTTTTTTTAGTTTAAAAAAGTTTTAATAATCAAATATTAATTAAAAAGTTCATTACCTTTTTATTGTGTCATTTTTGTTAAAAAACGATCATTATATAAAAAACAATTGTTCGAGTCACAAAAAATATTTTTACGTCACTTAAAAGGCAACGCGTTGAAGTGAAAAAGTGAATTAAGAGCTAAGTTTAAAAGTAAAAACTATAAACGATAACGCGGACGTACGCTGTTGTATTCAAAAACCAATAGCGTTCAGCTAGTGTTCTAAAAATAGATTTTTTTAGTACTAAAAGGCATTAAGGTAAAGATATTTTAGAAAATTGCACAAAATCAATAGAATTTTCTAAAAACGCAATTTATTGTAGGTTGATAGCGGTAAAACAAACAATTTGACGTCACCTAAACTGTACGCTATTAAAGAAAAAGTTAAGAAAAATTTGATCGTCTGGATAATTTTTTGATTGTCTACTTTATTACTTTTATTATTTCTGCCGATCAGTGTTGATCGGCAACCTTCAAATAATTATTTCGAGCGCTGATGTATATATA